ATATACAGGGTGATCCCAAAAAAACTTTACAACTTTTTTCCTGAATATCTCGCCCAAAAATTGTTCTAGAATGCTGTAATTTGGAACAGACACAATTCATTCAAAAGGAATTTGTTTGATATAAAATCCACGAAGAAGAAACATGTTTTGAAAACTGAAACGGCTAAAAGAAAAAAGCACCCAAAAACACATAGTTCACCAATGTTTAAAAATCGTGTAAAGGAAGTCGTGAAAAGATTAGTTGATCTTTTTCTTTGTTTTCTCTTTGACATTAATATTCCATCCCTGTGACATACAAAATTTAATTTCTTTTACAGAGTTTAAAAAACCTAATGATTTCATTCTGAAATTCCTAGAAGCAGTGTTTCACATTCCCTCCTTTGGACTCGACACATTTTTAACGCGTCTTTCGAAATGTTCAGTGGCGCCCTAACACAAGGACCTGCTAAACCATGAGTTTTTAAAACCACATACACTGTACATGTTCGCTAAGAAGTGGCTTCTAGAGACAATAGAGTGGGGTGCCCAATAGACAGCATTTTTGGAGTAAACATATCCCGCAGGGTGAAAATGGGCTTTGCACTAAACCAAATGCCATCGAGGAAATGATCCCTCTTGACAAGACAATCGAGGAATCATGAACGCATTGCCATGCTCTGATCCATGTCATCTCAGCCTTGCAAAGATGAACATGGTATAGTTGAAGGTGGTGACTTTTAAAGGGCTGCGCATGGTGCGTGTTCGACCTGCAGTGGTCATTTTTAAAAGAACATTTTAGTTCTGATTCGCTATGGATCCAAACTGACGGAACTTCTCTACTCATGACGCCAAAGGTCTTGAGGGCACCTAAGCATTTTTTCCATGCCATGGACTTACGAAATGTCAGGGATGGTGAGTTTGTGGAGAGATAATGTTCAATACAAAAAGCTCTCTGCTCTTTACTAAACGTAACCATGATCGAAGCAGGCAAACGAAATTTTGGCAAAATAATATCTGCTGACTTCTGTTGACTTGTTAGACTGCTGTGGCTTGCAATATGACGCGATTGGTGCAACTTTTAGTGGTAGGCCTAATTCAAACTGGTGCGTCATGCTATAAAAATGGCGACAAGGTTGAAAGTGGGTTGTTTTCTGCGCTATATAGAGCAAAACCATTTAATGGACTTATCTAAAATATACATCAGACAAATTCCTTTTGGCTTCCAAACGTTATGTTCAAATCTGAAACGAAAAACTTCAGTATGGAAGAAGATTTTACAAAACAAGTTGTAAAGTTTTTTTGGATCACCCTGTATAT